CTTGTCCTACATGAACAGTTCATTGGAAAGAAAATATCAGTGGGATTCAGGAAATACAAATAAACATTGTTGAATCGCTTTGTTTTCAGTGATTAAGGGACTGATAGAGGTCAAGTCACCTTACCTGGAGGAACTGCTGGCGTTGCTCATGACAGTTGGCATGGAGACGGGCGCTGCCAATCCGGGCACGGGACCCGTTGCCATGGTGAATTCTCTGCTCCTTCAGGAATGTGAAGAGGCGTCAGTCAAAGCAGAATCTGATTCAAGCACGTAAGGAGATCCTGAAAAATAAGTGTGCTGTTGTGTATTCATTCTGCAGTTGTGGTACAGAGTAATAAAATGGTCCTTGTCCAGTGTGGTTCTCATTTTCTCTGGCCACTAAGGACCAGCTGGATATATCTGTGAACATACCGACAGTTTACTTTTTTCAAAACTTGTTCCTGAAGTTATTTGTTTCAATGCTGATGCTCCATCATCACTGTGGTCTAGTACGAAAGTCCACAGTCGCCACATTCAGTAAAATTTGTTTCACAGGCTTGTCTATAAAATAAGAATATTTTTTCTAACAATAAAAGCCTAAACAGAACAGGAAGTGAAGAAATAAACATACATTAAAACATACAAGTCTGGAAATGAATGCTTTTAATATCCCGATTGTATTACCACATAAGTGATTCGTACCTTGCTCATTTCTCAGCTCGGATGTGACAAAGACGGTCAACTCCTCTGGGCTCCTGATAGACTGGCTTGAACTGCTTGACCCTGAAGTGATCTCTGTGCTCCCAGACCTTCAGCAAAGACTGCTGTTTTCATGGAACAAGGTAATTTCTGTGACGCTGTGAAGGGTGTAAGGAAGTAGGAGTATAAAGAACCTGTCATTTTAGAGGCAGTGGAGGAGTGATTGGTGCTCTGGACTCTGGATTAAGAGGTTATAGATTAAAATCTTGGGTTTGGCTGTTGTACCCTTGAGCAAGGTATTGCCTTTACATTGCTTTGGTAAAGTGCCCAGCTATATAGATAAATACGAGGGTAAAAAGTTTTGAAATTGAGAGCAAGTGAATTCATATAATCATATTCAGGATTTATTTTTGGTTTTAGTGTCCTTAAATCTAAAATGGCTGAAGTAAACTGATTATTGCCTTAATTTTGTGACCCAGGTGCGGGTATTTTGTAATCTTACTGTATATATAAAATCATAAAAGTATAAAAAATATTTCTAACATCACATAACAAACGCAGAAATTGATGTCAGTATTTCGGTGCAAAAATATCAATGTACACTTCATGACAAATAGTACAGGTGACCTTAATCCAGGCTGTTAATATTAGAAATTCCAGCTGGATAGTATGTACTACATAGCACTGTTGTTTTCTTCAGAGTAAAGGAAATGCAGGAGCCCAGATACCTTCCTACAGACCATATCTTCTGGCATTGCTGACACATCAGTCAAACTGGACAACCCTGCACCACTGCATAAGCTTCCTCCTCAGCAAACACAAGGAACTGAGGTGAGTGGTTAAGAGTAGCCCTTGCAGTTGTCCCTTTTTGGACATTTTTCTCAATTGTGTGCTTTTCTTTTGTATTCTATTTGTGTTTCTATTGTTGCCTTTACGGTTCTTGTTTTAGAAACTGTAATACATTTAAAAAAATACTGATTGCGTTTTTTTTTATGGCTTTATGATGCAGATCTAAGATTTTGGATGCTTTTTCAGAGTGAGTTTATGAATTAGTAATAACGTGAACTGAACTGAAATTAATTCAAACGCAGTGTGCTGTAAGTCTGCTTTAAAATGTGTCTCCCTTAGACTGGAGCCATCCTCCTCTCTGGACTTCCTCTGGGCCTGCATTCACATTCCCCGCATCTGGCAGGGCCGTGACCAGAAGACCCCACAGGTGAGCACGCAGCACAGCAGCGCCTGCCAGACAAGTGCTTCTTCAGTCGCTGAGCCCCACTCGCCTCTTTCGATACGCGCAGCGACAGCACAGCTGGGTCAGGGGGTAGTTACATGGCAGGCAGGATGACAGGAGTGTCCTGCATTCATTTCTGGACCTATTCCCCTATGTATCTGGGACGGGCTCCAGGGTCCTGTGTTCATTTCTGGACCTATTCCCCTATGTGTCTGGGACGGGCTCCAGGGTCCTGTGTTCCTTACCAGGAATCAGTGGCTTTCTGATAATGCATACATGGATTGGTGTTACAGTGAACCTGTTACGGCAAAGACAGCCAAAATGTTGAGGTCTTGTTATACCAATCTGCCGTTTCTAAAGGACCGGTATTTCTATGAATATAAAACAGTATTAATAATGAAGAATTAATAAGCCTAGTTTATCATTTGGACAGCAAAATCTATATCATGATGACAGACTTAAATCAACCTACTTTCTTATCTAGCAACTTTGAGATTGTTGGATTAAATTGTCGAACAGTGTTAAAATACGTATTAGTTTGTTACATTATCAATGTTGAATTGTTGTTTGTTAAATTATCAAATTGTTACAATTTTATCATTTAAATATTTTTGCTCTAGGTCAGTGTGAAAGTAGAGGCACTTAAAAAGTATTTTTCTTCAGTTATTTTATTTTAAATCTGTGAAGAATTGTCAAGTAAAGGGTGTGGTATTAGAGGACCGGTAAAACTAAAAGCTTTATTTCGAAATGCATCCTCTTAAAAAAAATAAATATTGGTGTGTCTGATTAATTCTTGTATAGTGATTGTGACTTCCACTCTTTTTTCCCCAGAAACGTACCGAAAACTTTGTGTTGCGGTTAAAGGCTCCAGAGTTGATCAGCTTGGTGGACCTGATCCTCTCGGAGTCGGAGATGAACAGCCACACCCCCCCCCAGAGCAGAAGGAATCTGGACGAGGCCTCCTGCTCTCTCATCCAATCACGGCTGCCCTTGCTCCACAGCTGTTGTCATGGAGACCTCGAGAGTGTTAAGAAAGTGTCTGAATACCTGATTAACTGCATCAAGAAGTGGGGAGAGAGGTACAGTCGCAGAGTCGCCATTTGCCTTTAAATACCTGTTTCAGTTTTGGTGCGATTTGAGCACATTATAGCTGTTTTAAGGAAATGTATTGTACTGTCAAATCCTTTGCATTTCTGGTGCATATCAGTACTCAGAAATTGTAGGTTTGCCTTTTTATTATATCACAATTAATATGTTGGAACAATGACAGATTAAGGTGAGGTCCAGACAAATTCAAGTTTTCAATCCACTCAACATCTTTAGATTATAAACCCTGTAACTGAATGGAGTCCCATTGGACAGTGGGAAATGTCTCAAGAGTATCTACTAAGTTCTGGTTTCTAATATACAGTTGACAGGAGGGTTGATAGTTTGCTATAATCTAGCTCCTTGTTTAGTTACATCTTAATGATGGCAGCAGGAAGTTTAAATTTTGACACTCAGGGTCTTCGTAATTGCTAGTTTGTGAGTTGATGGTTGGTTTTTGTTTTCTTTTCATAGATAAAAACATTCAACTTACACTGTGATTGAAAGTGAAAAGTCATTTTAACTGCATCTAGTACCTTTCAAAACAGATTCCCTGAATCAAATGATAAATGCACGTGTTCTGTGAGGTAGATGCTGCGTTCAGGGCGATGTAATATTCCTTCAATTACTGGTGAATTGGAAACTAGCAAAAGTCTCATATCTTATAATCTGTTTGATAGTCTAGTGCATTGAAATAAACACCAAGCGAGAGGATTAAGGGAGGCATTCTACACAAACCCACATTATTCCAGGTGTTGTTGAAACCTTGCTCTTTGAAGAATCTAGCTTTTCGTTATTCTGACCTCGGCTTTAAACCACAGCTTAAAGGATGATGTTTGTGATTTTAAGTGACATCTGCGTGGCGATGCCGGGTGTTCTTTGTGATCGCTGTGCGAGGGGGATGAAACACCCTGAACGGAGAAAGATATTTCCCCATCACTGTCTCACGAGGACCTGTTCTCTCTTGGTCTTCCGTAGCGTGATGAGCAAAAGGTGTCAGAACCTGCTGCTCCAGATCTACCTGCAGGTGCCGGAGGTGATTCAGCACGTGACTCTGCCTGGCGTCACTCTGAGCAGCGAGGGAGCAGCCGCGGGCAGCACCTGTAAGGTACGAACCGCGACTTTTCTTTTGGCGGTCGTTAAGGGGGAGCTGCAGTCCCGATGTCTCAGGCCTCGGTAAATCTCAGGGACCAAATACATTCATTGACAGCATAGAAAAAATTGACAAATTCCGAACGAAGCACGAAACTGTGAGCTTTGTGAAAGTGCTTTGTGCACCATGTTGTTGCAAACTCACGTGGTGACGTGAACATGCCCTCCCAGCTCACAAGTCACTGTACTGACTCATGTTAATGCGATGTAGGAGCGAATAAGTGCAGGTTGTGCTGCAGACATTTCACCGCACAAAATGTTCCAACGTGACCTGCATGCAGAGTGAACGAGTAAGCAGTATTTGTCAGCAAAACCATCTCGAAATCGCGAGTCATATGTCTGCTGCGTTAAAAGAGGCGTATTTACAAGCCTCCTTGTTTGTAGTCATGGCGTCAGTTCAAATCACCGGAAGTTTTGTTGCTTCGCTCTGAATCGCAGAACATGGTGCTTAGCATACCTGGAAATGTTGTCTAGTTTGTGATGTACATTGGAGGTTTTACACGTTACTGTGTACATTTTACTTTCGTTGTGGTTTGAAATGCACTCATCAGTGCTGACTCCACCTGATCCCAAAATATAACTAAGTTGCAGTTCCCGTTTTAAGAAAACTGCAGAATTACTTTAATTGCAAGTGACTACAAAGTGGACAAATCCTCTTTAGAGAAGATGAGTATCATTTGTCTTCCTGCTACTCTTGCATGTGAGCTGCTCCCGGTGAAGTACGTAATATGGTGCTTTCCCCTTTCTTCCCCTGTGTCGTCTAGCTGGATGTCCTAGTTCACCGTCTCATCACTCTGCTGGCAGACACGGGCGAATCCAAATCCGCGGAGAGCCGCATGTCTGATGCCAACATGGCCTGCAGGAAGCTAGCTGTCGCTCACCCGGTCCTCCTCCTCCGGTAACTCAGCTGGGCCTGTTGGTTTACAATGAATGAGAAAATACACTGGTGTTCTCTGTACCGCACTGTCTGCCTCCCTTGTTTTCATGTACTGTATGTAATAGAGAATAAGCACAAATAAAAACTCCAGCACAGAGATGTTTCAAATAGCACTTGTGACAATATTTTCATTTCATTGGTGAATATTGTCTTCCTACTTAGCTGCTTCTTACAGCCTTAAGAAGTCTCTGCTTTAATGTAGTCATGTGATTCAATATGCAGACTAAATCCTGTAATTTAATATTTATCTAACGAAATGTCTTTTCTGTTTTGCATGATCAGACACGCTCGTCCTGTCTGGGCTTTCACGGTTAAGGAGTCCTTCGAAAGTTAATTCAGAAAGCTTTCTCTTCCAGACATTTACCTATGATTGCGGCTCTTCTGCATGGACGCATCCATTTAAAGTTTCAGGAATTCCGCCAACAAAATCACCTGACATTCTTCACTCACGTGCTGTCCATTCTGGAACTCCTGCAGCCCCTTGTGTTCCACAGTGAGCACCAGAGGGCGCTCCAGGACTCACTCTTAACCTTCACCCAGGTCCTTCAGGTACAGAAAAGCTTAAACTGATTGTTTCAGACCAGTTCCATCCATATGGATTGTTATCTTCCCAGGCTACTGGTACTTTAATGTAAGACCTGTAAAAAGAAACTATTCACAGCCTTCAGATAAGCTGTGTGCAATACAATTTTTTGTTCAATGAGCATAGAAGAACTCTAAAGAAGCTTTCCATCTTTTAGTTAGAATGCATTTGCAGTTTAATATCTAATCATTTTTTAAAAAGATTCAAAATGCGCTGGATGAATTTGGATAAATTGCGCTTTTTCTAAACGGTATCAATCTTCGAGGTTAAATGAATGAATGTGGACAGCTAGCCCAAGCACTAAAGAGTATATTTTACACACACTGGGATTGGTATTATCAGTAATTTAAAAGGTTTGCACTCATATTCCCTGTGGATTTTGGAGCACAGACTTACTATATAGGTATGATGTTTCACCACAGTGGGGGAGAATAAGACCAAGCATTATTTCTTAGAAAAACTGGGAACCTGATAAGTACTGCCTCGCTTCATTAAAAATGTTTATCTTGTCACTTGGGTTTAACTGTGCTCTAATTAGTGTTTGGCCATCACAGATCCTTTGTCACTTTCCTTGTGAAAAGAAGTCAATAAGTCACTTTGACTTGAAATGTAACCTGACCTCTTTTGCTTCTTGCAACACTAGCTTTGTTTTCCTGTCTGCAGAATTTCAGGAAGTCATCGAGACAGCTTTCAACCTTCATCAGTAAATTTGTCCAGTTTATTCAGAAATACATTACCCATGATGCCAGTGCTGCCGTTCCTTTCCTTCAGAAGCATTCTGATATCTTGCAGTGAGTAGTCCCACAAGAAATATTGTCTTTAATTATAAAAAATTATAAACACATTTTCTTCAATGTAGAGTTTGTAGAATTGGACAAGGTATTGGAGGCAAAAGGCTCAGTTGGTTAGTCAGGATATTAACTCCAGTAATTTTAGCTGTGGGAATAGATGGTGAAGGGTTTAATTTGTCTGCTTGTTGTCTGTAGAAACAACCTGTTCACTTAGTGGCCAAAAAGTAAGTTTATGTTTAACTTATTTTTTAATATGATTATGAGTTATTTTAGCTTCTTGACAATGTTATCATTCTTAAGATGAACATTTTACAAAGCTGACTGAGTCTGAGACTAAAAACTGCAATAATAAAAGATTTTTTAAAATCTTTCCAAGGGGCCTTTCTTCAGAAAACCCTGACTTGGTGCAGCTCAAGTCTCTGCTGGCTGGACTGACTCTGCCTGTGAGGAGTGGCGTATCAGAGACTGTATCTGAAGACAGAGAAGGTGTGTGTACTGTTGCCCTACGTCTTCCACTGGGTACATGGCCCCTCAGCACCTAGGCACTTGGTTCTGCTGTTACCTGCGTAACTAATCACTTTTTAAAAATATTTGGCAAGTGTACATATTCAGTAGAATATAAAAATAAACCACTACTAGCTTAGGCAGCGGTTCAGGTGCCAGCAGCATGCAGCCTCTGCAGGACAACCGCTAAGGTAATGGGCAACAGATCAGCTACAAACGGGAGATGGCTGTTCAGCCTCTTGATTTTCTCAGTGCTGTCAGCTTCGACAACATGGCTGGGCAGCTTGCTCCGTGCTCCAAAACCTCTTCCTTCCACCTCTACATGGTTTCAGCTGGTGTCCTCCAGAGTCGGCAATAAAAGACAAACTAGAGATTGAAACCATAGGATTGATTACTTGAATCAGGTTCCGTTTTAGTCTTCTCTGTTCGTGATTAAGAAGGTTAAATTCTTTTCGCCTGTGTGGGACACTCCTTTGAGCCCAGGAATGTAGCTGTTTGATCTTCTCTGAACTGATTCCAGTGCTGAAATATCTTTTTTTTAACTTGACAGCCAAAGAGGCACACAGTATTCTAAATGAGGTGCTGCTAGAGTTAGCAGCTTTAACATATCTTGACCGTTCTTTTACATGAACTATATACCCACTCCACAAGTCTTTACTTAAGTTGTAAGCATCTGTTTCTGAGCCATTGCATGGAGAATTACTATTCATGATGTTACAGAGATTCTCCCTTATCTTCCCTGGCTGTGTGGGGGAGAGGCAGGAGGGACAGCAGAGCAGAAGTGCAGGGTTGTTGCCATTGAATGGTTACCAGGTGCGTGTGCTGACCACAGCAGGGGTAGAGCAAGGGTAGAGAGAGAAAGCAAACTTCACCCCCTTCTATGGGGGAAAGAAAGTAAATAAAGATGAGAAAAACATTTTAAAATAATAAGCTTAGAATAATTAAACACCAAATATAATATTGTTTAGTGATCAAACACGACTTACTGAGTCAATAATAAAATAACTTGAAAGAAGCTATGGTCTTGGTAAAGTATGCCTCAGTAGCTTGTTCCACGCTCCCACCACACTTTTCATAAGAAAGTGCCTCATGTGCCTGCGTTTTATTTTTGTATTTTTGTTAGTACGTTTTGTCTGTTGTTGTGTTACTACACAACAAAAATCAAAGATATTTATCTACCCTGCAAAAAAAAAAAAGGTCCAATGACTGGCTCAAAATATAGATTATATAATTAAAAAAATAAAAACTAATTTTCTGCTTTTAAATCAAATGGTCTGTTGAATTACACACCAAAACCTGCTCTTAAAACTTCAAAATTTCAAATCCAATCTCTCCTGCTAAATGTAAACAAACAAGAAAGGTACCTTATTGGTATGACGGCTCTGGTATCTGTGTAGAAAATAGCATCCAAAAACATTTCTTTGTGCAAAGTAATATTCTGTTGTAATAGGCTGAGTCTTTTAGTCTTGAACAGAAGAGTCAATGTGGAGATCTGACTCAGGTGATCTAAATCCTCAGAGGCATTGACCCAGTCTGTGCTGCGTACTACATGAGAATCAGCAATGAGCCATTAACCTCTGGCTTCTTGTAAGGGGCTGTTGGATGAGATCTCTTGATCAGTTAAATCCTATTTCTTATGTTCTTAGCTCATCTAGGGTTGTAAATATTCGTGTGTCTCATGCTGCGCTGTCCTTTCTCTCCGACAACGTAAGGCAGCTTTTGCAAAATAAGGAATATTTTTGATATCTCATGAATATACGTGAAGGGGAGGGAAAACTCCAGTAGAAAGAGATTGAAATTGTTTTTGTAGAAGTGTTAATGAGCATTAAAATCATTGCTCTTAATTTCTCTCAGCAGAAGAGTCTTCAGCGGGATCTCTTCCTCTCGTCAGTATCTCAGCCTCTGCTCCACTGACCGCGTCTGACATGGCAAAGTACCTCAAGAACATCGCCAGAGGAGAGGCCATTGAAGGTGACTTAGCAGTGTGAAAATGTTTGCAACACAGGCTGTAACAAATCAACATATTGTACTTTAGAATGTGAAAAAAGGATTGTATACTTATTTTCATTAAGGTGGACTAAAAAAGTTCTGTGGCGCTTGGAAAAAGTCACAGCCTTTAATTAACTGGATAGTTAAAAGCCATTCTGTGCATACGTGAGCTGTTTTGTTTTCATGGAATCCCCCTAAATAGTCTTTGTTTTAACTGCAGATATCTTGGAGGTCTTAAGTGAAGTGGACGAGAAATCAAAGCGAAGCCCTGAAATTATTCCCTACTTCACTGTAAGTGCAAATGATGTTAGAGTCTGTTGTCCAGGAGGGGGCAGTGTACTGTAGTTGGTAAGTCTTTGCTCTCATAACTGGTGGGTTGTGAGATCGAGACCCCGCTGCTGAGCCGCACCAGTCCTCCCAGTTGTGTGAAGCTGATCCGCATTGCTGGGGGCAGTCCCTGCAATGCACTGGTATCCTGTCCAGGAGTGGGGTCTCCCCATATCTCATCCGCCTAATGCTGTGGGAACATTATCCGCCTCCCTTTTATCAAGGATAACCTGAGAACACACGGAGACTTTTAAATAATTACAGCCGTGTGGTTGGCTGAATGCTGTTTTGATTCATCACTACACTGAGGACGTGGGTGATAGTGCAGTCTGTGGGACAAATAAAAATAACTTTTCTATTTCATTTTTTTAGAATGGCGGAGTTGGATATTGTCTCTGCTTCACAAGTGGTTATGATTCAAAAAGCATAGCTAGAACTCACCTCTTATTTGTTTTGCCTTTCAGAGCGATTTGCAAAGGCTGATGAGCTCTTCTGAAGAGCTGTGCCGTAATATGGCCTTCAGCCTGACTCTCCGCTGTATTCAGAACAACCCCAGGTATGACATGGAGTATATGCAGTTCCTGCCCCGCATGTCTCCAAGTTCATTCATGGCACTGCTTTTCTTGTCCATCCATGTGGACTGGCGTTTAGAGACTTGTAACTGGGAATTTGTGGATTCATATCCTGTGTTGGACACTGCTGCTGTGCCTTTTAGCAAGGTACTTCACTGAGATTGCCCCAGTAAGGTGTCCTTGCTCTATAAAATGTGTACTCTTCAGGTGGTCAGTGAGACATTGTTCTGAATTTACTTATTTACTTAAATGAAAATTGTTATTGTTTTTGTGAAGGTACATATTTGTGTCTTGGTTTAACCTAAGAGATCAGTATGTACTTATTAAGGTTGTAATTTACCATACCATGCATGTACATTTCTTGAACATGTCAAATGAGCCACCTGCTTTATGTGTCTGGGGGTCTGCTGATGCTTTAATACAGCTCAGTATGTGTTGCTCTTCATGGCACTTAGGACACCAAGTGAATTGATCTAAAGCAGTTATTATAGTTTTGTGAGTTAGTAGTTTCTAAAGCCAACATTGTTTTACTCATCATACTAGGTTATATGTTTCTACAAAGTATGTGTGGTTATGGTTGTGCAATATATTGTACATGTACCATTTCATAACATGAAATGTTTTTTTCTCTCATACAGTATGGCAGCTGATTTCTTACCAACCTTTATGTACTGCCTGGGGAGTGGGAACTTTGATGTGGTCCAGACAGCTCTGAGGAACCTACCAGAATATGTACTGCTGTGTCAGGGTAAGGCCCACATCACCTGGATCTGGATAAAAAAAGCACACAATTTTGGATAAAAAGCACATATCAGTGTAGCATGACGGCTTAATACATTCGACCACAACCAGACATGAACATGCTGTTTTTTGTTTTGTGTAGATTTAGTTTTTGAGTAGCTTTTGTACATATTAATAGGCTTCCAAGTGGTCCAATTTTAATAGTGTATTGTAATTTACAAATTCATTTTAAGTTTACAGTCTTTGCAACCAGAATGCAGTCAGACTATTGACAAGTTGTTATTATTGATAAAGACCATCCAGACTTTACAAGAATGGTTAAGATCACTGTTGTCAGCAATAAGGCTGTAATATCTCCTACTCAGATTGGAGCTAACTTTTTAATCCAGTAGTCTTTATTTTTCAACAACTTCTCTTACTTCATAATTATAGTTTGCTGCTTCCTGGTTGGATTGGTTGTAATCCATCTCAGACACCAAGACTGCTTTTGTTATATTGTATGAAACAGTGGATTTCCCTGGGTGTTGCATTACTGTAAAAAACTGACAGCAATTCACAATCCCCAGATAACAGTGGCGCAGTGAGATGGCACAGCAATGAGGAGGCACAAGCTGTGCTTGGTGTGTGCTGTAAGGAAATCATCTTCTTAAAATGTATACAACTGAGCCTTTTGCCCCTAGATGTTCTTCTCCTCAGGCCTTAGAAACACCTGGCATATTTCAGTTCTCTACGAGTAGGTCCATTTGCTGGTGCTTTTCATCTGTAGGATGGTGGAATTCACTCGCCTGGTCTCGTTTCACCGTCTCTCAAGGTGGAGTGAGTGACCCTACTGTTAATATACTAAGCTGGTCTTCCTGGACTAGCCATTCATCTGCTTGCTATTTATTTACCATTTTAGTCATATTTCCGAGATGTTTCTACCTTATATATATTCTGCCTCCCCTGTGCTAGTTATTCTAATGCCCCGTGTCTGCCTTAGCAACAGCTTATGATTGGTGGATAATTGCAGAGGAAACATGAAACATCTCCCCAGTCTGACCATCTGCAAATTGCATAGCTCTCCAGACATAGTGTAGCCAGTCAGCAGGTGGCTTGAATGAGCCATCTGCATGCCCTCATTATTTACTGACCTATATTAGCTAAATAGTACAATGTTAAATGACTGTGCCATAATGCATATTGATATAACTAGTATACCCCCACCAGAACACAACAGCATGTTTTCAAATACAAAATACATTATAGCCAGTAATTTCACTGGAGCATTTAGAATGGAGTGTTTTGTAGATCTCATTAACCTGTAACTAGACAACTTGCATATTCCCGCAGTTCATTTAAATTGAAGCGGCAGTCTTGGTACCTGGCCACTTGAGTCATATCTGATGCAGCTACCCTTTTCTTTAACAAAAACAACTTGTTTTAATCGTTTCCCAAAGTATCGTAAAAAGCAAGCGATCTCCAGTTTCCTCTTAATACAACCATTACGTTTTTCACAGCAGAATATCAGAAATAGGCCAAGCTTTTCAATCAGTAATTAAAATAAATGATCATAACCCCCAACAAATATTGTGAAGGATATATCCTTGTGGTTGGTATTATTGGAGGCACCTGAGATTGTCTCTGTTCTCTGGTGCAGTTTTGGTGAAAAGATGAATTATTCTTGCACAATGGGTTAAACAGATATTTACTAAAAATGACAATACACACACTAAAACAACACAACAAACAATGTACACTATGTACAAACTTTCTAGAAAGGCGTTTCAGAGCCCTATATCTAAAACGTCTCCCTTTATCACTTTGACTTCTGTAGCTTCTGCATCATTTGCCAGACCTCGTGAATTTGACCAGGTAACAGCAGTGCCAGTGTCTTGATTACTGATTTAAATGGGGAAGCAGTTTTTGTTTCTTAATTCCTGAATCACACTTAAAAAGGCTCCAGACCTCGCGTGTTGCACTGGCACTCACCCTCATAATAATTCACTTCTTTCTTGGTAAAACAGCCCAAACCCCTACTCTTCAGTAAACTCCAAACTTGGTAGGTATTGTGATTTACTCACAGGATAGTCACACCATTAACAGTAAGTGGGTAATGTCTTGCTTGGAAGCTTTCTTGCTGTTTTCTGTTTTTCAACTATATAGTTCATTGTTCTGATTTTAGGTGGGTTGGATGTGTTATTATTAATAAGTATTATAATATTAGGACCAAGTAAAGGTTAATTCCATGCTCAAAAGAAAAGAAAAGAAACGCAACGTTTCGGCTGTGGAGCCTTCCTCAGGTGTCAGTTATATAATAATATTATTACAGTACATCTCATGTTAGATGTTTTCGGTTGTGCGTGATCTATTATAATTAACGCACCACAAACACATTGCCTGACGGGAGGAATCCATGACACCCAGACCCCGAGAGGTTTGTTCTCTCCCATTGGGAGTCGTTGTTTTCCTCTCCTCTGTGCCAGCGTGGTCTGTTGTTGCTGCACAGTGCTGTCAGAGGCTCTATAATTCTGTAAACCTCTCTGTGGCCAACTGTTGCAAGGGTTGCCAGGGCAGATAAGGGATTGGGTGGCCTCTGACATCCTCTTGTTTGTCCTCTACAGAGCATGCAGACATCCTCTTGCACAAAGCCTTCTTGGTGGGAATTTATGGTCAGATTGACACCAGTTCAATAATTGCCGAATCCATGAAGATCCTGCGCATGGAAGCGACAACCTAAATCCCAAAGTGGACAACCTGGCTCGTTCTTCACCTACGAAAGCCTCACATATTCCCACAGCTATCCTTCCGCAGGATAACAGATGAAATTATATTCATTGAGAAAGCAGGTTACTGACGAGAAACCTCCTGGCTAAGCTTCTAAAAAGCAGTTAATACTTTGTCTAGGGAAATAAGGGTTGATGTAAATACTGTTTAAAGTCCTGTATCATATCATATGCACTGACCCGGGTGAACAGTGAGGAGTACAGGAAAAAATCTGAGTTCTCAGACACTGGAGACGAATCATGTGACAAAATGTGTTAAGCAGTTCATTTCTGTCGCTTTTCTGTATATTCCATTGTTTCCAGTTTAATACCATCCCTTTGCTGTTATAGAGCAAGTAGTTTGGCTCACAGATTTGAGGGTGGCTGTAAACACAAGTCTTTTATTTGGTATTGAACTTTCTTAGACTGATCCTACAGGAAGCTCATTTGCTACTTTCTGTGAGGACAAGAAGTATTTCCCAAAAGCTTCCTTTTTTAACATTTCATTATTCATTAAAAACTAAATTAAAACCTGACTTACTTTTTCAAGTGTGTGTTTTGGTTTTGGTATATGTTTAATTTGGCAGATGACACAGAAAATAGTTGTTTTGTTTTGTCAAAAGGTAAGAAAAATAACTTTCTACTTCTACTTTGTAGTTACATACATACTCTTAAGTTTAAAGGGTTGACAATCATTCCTCTTTCTATTTATAAACAATGCTGCCATGCTGTTGTATTCTGATGTTTGATAAAGCTACAAATTCCAAATATTTCTGATATTTTCAGAGACAACTTGTTCTGTAGCTTACCAATTAAATTATACCTTTTAACTTATATTCACATTTGACATTTTTCTCAGTATTCCAAACTGTATTTAATGCCTATAAAGGAAAAAAAAAGAATCACTTTAAGAAAAAACAAAGTGTTGTTAGTTAGACACGCTGAAAAGCTTTGCCTTGCAAATAAAACCGAGTGTTAAAACCCAGAAAAGGAATTCACAATTTAAGGTAGTTCATATAAGTTTTATCATTTATCTCTCTGGTTGTACTTTGTAAACAGCTGTTTAAAAATATTAACAGTTAACAGCCTGTTTTGAGATTCAGGTATGGTGACATTTCTTTTGTGGTCACCACATCTCCTTACACTTTGTGTCTAGAATCTTAACACCTGGCTATAATGTGTCATTGCAAACAATGTTAACTCCTGCTGGCTTTGCAGATCATTTCTTGACTGATTGTGATTGTGTGAAGTTATTGGCTATTGTTTTGCATTTTCCCTGCAAAGACACTAAAGAAGCTGTCTTCTGTACCATGCAAGACTTTAATGGAAAAGTTGATCCAAGCTTGAAACCTCAGTGTGCATTTCCTTAGCAGTCTATACAGTACATATTTTTGATCTATGAAAAACTTTTTATTACATCTAAGCATTAATTACATTGAGTATTCTACTTATCCATTTTTTGTCAGAAGTATTAATTTAAAAACTATCTTACACAATGGGAAATTAACTGTTGGCATGTCAGATGCCGATTTGTTTCTTAAAGGTTTATACCTAAATTGAATTTCCATTGGAAAATGTATTTTAAGATGTATTTGAGCAGAAAAGCATCCTAAAAGTCACAGCTAATTTTCCATGTAGAATACTAATGTGACGAGCTGTTGAGCCACTCTTGTCAGTTCTCTCACTAATGAGCTGGTTTAATGCTTGTGCTGCAATCAGTCATTAACTCTGCAGTAATTAATGATCATTTCATCAAAATGATACGATGACAAAAACATTAAATGATGCAAAATCAATACTGTATTCTTAAAAAACATACTTGCGTTTTTTCTGGTGCTTACTGTACATTACTATTGAAAAATAGTTGATAACAGCTTTACTGTGTCTTTTTATTAGAAATAGATGAAAGCTGTGCCAAAAGCAAATTTGTAATAAAATCAAGTTCTTTAATATCTTGTTACTAATATCGGTTGATGTCCTCTTGATAGAAAGAGGAAATGAAAGGCCAGCCATGCAAGGTAATGTCACTTCAAACTGTAACAAATTTACCAAATCTGTACTTGTTTAATCACACAAATCACAACATTTTAAGATGATGCAGACAACTGTTTTTCCTAACCTGAAAGCTCATTCTGTTCATGCCAGCGTGTGGATCTTTTTTCAGTGAAGGTAGCTGTTGGGAAGTTTTGTTATTTCAAGAGTGAAATAATATTATCTCTGGGTGAGATAAGCCCACATTGAGGGTAGAGAAGGTGCTGTCAAACACAAAGATTGACAGGCACTCTAAAAAAATGCACACAATAGCAGTGATGAAAGCTAGCTCCTCTGTAGTGCTTTCTTCTGTTGGTTAGTCACACCAAGTTCAGCGTTATGCACTGCTTTTAAGATTTTATAAATGCTGAGAGCAATGTGGAAGAAATTCAGAGATGTTTTTCACCACATCCGTTCAAGTGGCTGTTTTGTTTTCATCGTGGTGACTTTTGTAAAATGTAAACACTCTGCATTCCTACGCATTTACAAGGCTAACATCATAGTTTAAAAGTTTTATGTATTTAAATGTACATTCTCTTTTCACATTTTTGGGGGAAAACAAAAAAAATTGGTAGGATCTATACTAGTGTGCAGAATACCGCAGGGGAAAAAAATTCCTTCAGGCTTTTTGATTGTAGTCAGAACTTTGCAGACTGATGGACACAAAGAAAACTTAGTGCTGCTTTTAATGCTTGTAACATTTCATTATCTTAGAAAGAACACTGTTCTAGGTTTGGGCGTTAAAGAGCATGAATGATGGGTATGGATTTTAATTATACTATTTTGAAATCAGCTTGCCAAAAGGGTTTTAAATTCAAAACTCGTATTGTTTGCCTTCAGTTTCAAAACATCGAGCTTTTGTCTGATTTATACTGCACATCTCACATAATAATTATTTGTTTTCCATTACGGTTTTTCAATTGCTTGAATGTAATTCAAGCCTTGTTCACATATTCTAGACAGCTAGCACAAACCTAAGAGAAGCCTTTTCTGGGGGTGAACTGCAAAATGAGGTGGTTAGATGAAACGAAAATTGAGCTTTTCGTACATGCTCCAAAAAAAAACACGCTCTGTGTTATGTAATGTAAAGAAAAGATGAAACTCACCTTGCAAAAACACTCCTGCACACTGTGAAATATTGCGGGGGTCTATTATGTTTTTGGGGTTCTTTTGCATTTTTTGGAGTCATTTTGTGGTTCCTACAGCCCTTTTTTAAGATTGGGAAAATTATGAACCCCAGAATATTCCAGGAAACTTTGTCCAGACACCTGGTTCTTTTGCCAAGAAGTCCAAGCTTTGGCAGAAACATACTCCTGCATGACAATGTTCAAAAGCATTGATACACATAGACAAATTAACAATACACAAAATAAATGTTCTTGACTGGACATCTCAGTCTTCAGACCACAATCCAATCGAACATTTGTGAGTTTAACTTAAAATAGTGGTTCACTCACAGTAAGGGGTCTGAAGGACTTGAAGCGTTTATACATGGAAGAATGTTCGGAAATTTTCTTTCTGAAGTGCCGGATCTGCACAGCATACTACAGGGGGCATCTAGTCAGTGTCTTCCCTGCCAGAGGAGGATTTACAAAACACTTGCTACAGGAGTATAAACAAATGTGACCCTCGTGTTTTCTGGACTTAAATCATTTCAGACCAATATGACTTTGCTCTGTACAATACTATTGTGATTGATGTGTAGCATATTTTAGAAATTTGAAAGCAAAAAACATTATCCAGTCAGTGAATCTGTCTCTTATTTGTTGTTTGTAGTTCTATTGCTCTAGTCAGAGATATGATTGAATTTGTGGGGCGACTGTGTCGTTAGCAAAATTCTGTAATCAACTGCAGAATATATACGTTTCAAAATCAAGTGCACCAAAACATTCTTGAGCTAATGTTCTCTTTATGAGTATTTGTATAATGGCACTCTAAATTCTACAATCACAAAATTGACGTTGTCGAAATGGTCAATTTCATAATATAATGATTACTGTTATTGTCATCATTTAAACTACTATGTTCAGGTGGGTAGCTGCATCGGCAGGCATAGTCTGCAAAGGAACAAGTAATAGGTTTATTCCCTGCTGAAAAGAGAAGAAAGAAAACAACGTTTCGGCTGTGAAGCCTTTTCCCTGTGGAGGGAGAGTTGCTCACACCTGAAGTAGGCTTCACAGCCGAAACGTTGCAAGTAAGCATTCGTGCATATGGCAAATAAACTGAACTTATAACTTGGAAAACTTAGTTTTTTACTACCTGTGTGCAAAATCCTGCACTTAGCCCTGTTGAACTTAATCTGCCAAGTGCATTACCAGTCTTAGATTTTATTTTACAGTACATCTTTTTGAATTTTGTTTGCTGCTACTGTGGTGTTCGCTATCTCCTTCTGTTTTGGTATCATCAACAAACTCGACTAGTTTACTTACTGATATCCTAATGTATTGACTATCGATATAAATTAGAACGAGCGGTGTTCTCAGTACAAATCCCTAAGTTACAACACTAATTACATCTCACCGATTTGAGCATACACGCCTTAACTGTACTCTGTGTTTTTTTTGTTTATTGACCAAATCTAACTTGAAACAAATGAACTACCCTGCATACCTACCATCTGTATTATTATTGCCATATTGGCAATACTCTAGTTTAGTTCTAATAATTGTTTCCATAACCTCACGTTTAATAGAAGTCAAGTAATACTTGAACTATTGTGTTGCCTATAATAGAATTAATGTAATGGAAGATGGTAACACTGCAAGTTTCAGCAATTTGGCCATTTGCTTATCATATGATGTGCCTTATTACAGTTAATGGTTTCTGAGATTAAATACCATAGGGATTTGCAGGGTTAACCAGCTACATTTTTTATTTTTTTGGCGCTTTTGTCTTTTCAACAGCTTGTGGCAGATATATGTACGGTCTGAGATCCGGGCTTGGAGCCAGCATTCAATACACTGGCTGCCACTGGTGTGGAACAGAGACGAATGACAGCTTGCAAGAAGCTGTCCTTTTTATCAGAACGCAGAAAAAGTGGCAAAGTTTAAGAGCGTTAGTGATGAACCTGATGGGCTGCTGACACATTGACAGCCTCTAGCTTTTTAATCACCGCCTTGCTTATTAACTAAAAACATTTGATCTTCCTCCCCCATCTCTGCGATGATCACGATGACATGGGTAACAGCATGATGTCTGCACAGGAATTGTGCAAGTGCATTTTCAACAGACAGCTACAAGTCTTCATATGCCGATATGTTGTATTCTGTTTCTACAGCCTTTGGTGTGCTCTTAACGACAAGTCTTAAAGTGGATTACTACACTTTAAGTAATCCACATAATACTGCAATAAACAGTAATAGAAAACTTTAAATGTTATATTTATTCTACAACACACAGTCTTTTTTTTTGCTTAAGCTTGAGCTAGAATGTTGTCAAAAATAATGTTAGTGTAGCCTTCACTGGGATCAATATCTAACAGTGATGAAGATGTCAATACCACAGGCCTTATAGCCTGT